TGAAATTGCTACTGAAGAAGGTTATCGATCGGGAATACAGCTTTTAGTAATTTCTATACAAGACATGTAAGGCTTCTAGTTTGAAGAGACTCTTGATCTTCGAAGGAACATACGTATGCCTTTCTGCAGCCTATGCTAAATTTTATTTCATTCGGGCCGATTAAGAGTCGTCTGCGTACCATGTGACAAATTTATGGAAAACGATTTTTAGCGGAATTTATACACGCTATTCAGTACGTCGCACTGTTAAAAATTTAATCTCAATCAGACACCCGTTCGCAATACATATGGTAGCTAGCAACATCTGCACCAATTTCAACAAAACGCCATAATGTCATTCAAGTCTCAATCGAAATCTGAATTGATTTTCCCGAAACGTATCACACACAGCATTCTAGACTCAATTCAGTACGCTATACCAAATTTCGTGCAAATCGAAGGGTATATAGAGACTTTGCGGAGAAAAGTATTTATGGGAGGTACACCGAAATCGGAACCGATTTTCCCGAAACTTACCACTCATCACTCCTGACTCAATTCAGTACCCTAAGCCAAATTTCGTACAAATCAGAAGTTATATAGGGACTTTGGTGCACCATTTACATAAAATCGGACGAAAATATATATAGGAGCTATATGTAAATCTGAACCGATTTTCACGAATCTTAGCACACATTAATCTAGATTCAATTCAGCACGCCGTGCTAAATTTCATGCAAATCGGATGATATATAGAGACTTTGGTGCACCATTTACCTTGCATCGTACGAAAATATATATGGGAGCTATATCTAAATCTGAACCTATTTCTACAAAACTTAGTACACATTATTCCAGACTTAATTCAATACGTTGTGCCAAATTTCGTGCAAATCAAAAGATATGTAAGGACTTTTGTGCCCCATTTACCTTAAATCGGACGAAAATATATATGAGAGCTGTATCTAAATCTGAACCGATTTTCACGAAACTTAGTACACATTATTCCAGACTTAATTCAATACCCTGTGCCAAATTTCGTGCAAATCGAAAGATATATAGGGACTTTGGTGCACCATTTACTTTAAATCGGATGAAAAGGCATATATATCTAATATCTAAGTCTGAACCGATTTTTCTCAATTTCAATAGGGTTCGTCCTTGGGCCAAACAAATGAGCTGTGCCAAATTTCATCCAATTCGGATCGTAAATACGACCTGTACTTTGTTTACAATTTAACATGGACAGACAGACGGACGGACTGACATACATAAATCTACTTAGAAAGTAATTCTATGCATATTCTCAAAAGGAACCATGTGTCTATCACGTTTCCTTTTACCTGTTACAAAAATATGCACAAAGATATAATGCCCTGTACCACAGTGTGGTGAAGGGTATAAAAACCAAGAATGTCTAAGTCCTTGAAAAAAAATATTCTTTAAATATCTATGTCTGTTAAAGTTCTTGGAAAAATGTTCTGCATAAGTCTTTGAAAAAATGTTCTTTAAAAAATGTCACGCCTATTTTTTTTAATTCACTGCTTTTAATAACGTCCTTAAAAAGTATTTAAAAAAATCCTGATATTACTTCAAAATGTGTTAAGGGATTGGGTTATTAGTTTTTGAGCTATCGTGCCTGCCATTCGCAAAAACGCTGTTTGGAGAAAAACGCGTTTAAAGTTTGAGAAGCCCTCTTGCTGTCACCTGATGCTAACACAATAAATCGGCTATATCTTCAAAAATTGTTGAGATTTTCACTTGAAAATTTATGGGGACATTCTTGAATTAGTATAGGTTCAAATTAAATCAAAATAAGAAATTAAATTTTTTGAAACCGAGAATGGGTGGGGTCCCCTTAAGTAAAAAGAAGAATTGTTTGCGAATTACTGTATAGTGTGAAGGTAGATCATGGTTTTATTAAATTTATATCTTTGTTGTATTAGTTCGGCTGTAGGCTTTTTAAAAGTAAAAATTTATATTTTTAAAAAATTTTGACAGTTCGTGGAGAAGGTACCAGACAAATATTGGACCTATATAAATAAATATTATAAATAAAAATTATCAAGTTAATTTTAAGCTTTTGGAGTAGTCCATGTAATCGCTCATGGCCCTTTGGGCTAGGTTCTCGTTTATGAAATAAAATTAAATATTAAGGTCTGCCATTAAACCACACCGCCTTTATTTATTCCCGCCTATAAACAATTGAGAAAACACACACCCACAGTTTACCTCTTAATCTAAATTCCTTCAGAACGGACGGATAACGCTAAATCTTGTTAGAATTGTACTAAAATTTATCAAAACAAAATACATGCATAAGTTATATTGTCTCCATTATATGGGTGAGTTGTGTGTTAATTTAAATGTATTTATTATTTTTTGTTATATAGTGTGTAAATTGAAATTGTTAAAAAATGAAAATTATCTATTCTAATTGAAATATATATAAATAAAGAAATATAAATTGCAAATTACCTCTTTCGTAAAGATGAAAACATTTTTGATGGGATCCTTCATAACTTGGAACAATAAACTGAGCATTCAACATGAAATATACACCCAGGCTTTTCTACATAGAACACTAATACACACTCTCGTGTAAAACAGGCCATTTCAATATTAACATTGCTTTATTTTAAACATTTTGCAATACATATTTACACACACACGGCAACCGGACGCTTTTCTTACTATTACTATTAAACACAGTGCGGAATACAAAAAAAATAAACATTCTCACAACAAACAAACAAAACAACAAATTGACCGAGAAGGGGGACACAAATGCAAAAACAATCGTGCAAATTCCCGCGCAAAAGCTGAGAGCTTTAATGCACACAATGCAACTGAGAGAGGATTTCACGCACTCACTTGCTATTGGCGACTCTTATGAAATTAACCAATTTTTATCAAATAAAACACAATTCCAATTGGAAAATCACTTAACAAATGCAAAATATGTAATTATTTAATGGATTTACTAATTTTTCTTTTCGTTTTCCTAGAATTTCCCGACACAAACAACAAAATAATCAAGAGCAACGTCAAGACCGACCGTTTGTTAAGACAGCGACAATAGAACTGATTTCACGGATAGATAGAGAAAGAGAGAGTGTTAAGGGAAGCTCAAAGAGAGTATATTTGTCAAATTCGAATATTGTGCAAAAAGGAAGAAGAAATTAACAATCTTTTAGCAAATAAAACACAATTCCAATTGGGGAAACACTTCACAAATGCAAAGGATATAATTATTGAGTGGATTCACTATTTTTTCTTTTAATATTCTTAAAATTTCCCGACACAAACAACAAAATAAGCAATAACAACTTCAAGACCGACCGTTTGTTAAGACTGTGACAATAGAACTGATTTGACGGATAGATAGAGAGAGAGAGTGTGTGTTAATGCAGCTTAGAGAGGATTTTTGTCAAATTAGAATATTGTGCAATAAGGAAGACAATAGGAAAATGACATAGGAAATGGAATTGTAGAGTTGCCGTATTTATTTTTAGAAATGCAACAATTTGGGTAATTTAAAAAAGTCGTTGGTAGGAATAATTACTTTGGAGTGAAGAAAACATTCATGAATATGAAGATTTCTGGAGTAGATCTTCTAAACGATTCGATTTTTTGCTGCGTAATTTGCCTTATTTATATAACGTAAATATGTCGGACTATATCGGCGGCGACTCGAAGGGTCATAACCGATTACAAGACTTCGGATTTTTGCAAATTTGTACCAAATTAATTTTTTTTTAGAACCAAGAGTAAGACTCGGGTCGTATCAGAGCTCACATATAGGCCTTCTTTTAAGTCTTCAATAAGACCATTTTGTGATCCTAAATGAAAAGAAAAAACAAATAAAAAAGTGTCAGTTGGTGTTGCCGACAGATATATACTCTCAGGCTATGGTTGCGGAAGTCTAAGGAATTACACACAATTTTTATAATTTGATTTATATAAGGTATATATTTTTATCAAAGAGGTTTCGGATTTAATATCGATTAAATCAGTTATGAATTAGCTTCAAATTAAATTTACAAGTTTATAAAATATTGGCCCTTTTGGGGAGGTACTAGAAGGAGAGGACCTACTGGTTCCACCTTCTGACTTAATGTAGACTTGGTAAATATTATAGGTTGTGCAAAGTTTGTTTCGAATCGGACAATATATTCGCCTTGTATTGGATTTATAAATATTGAAATTTTTGAAAATTTTGTGGGGGAGGTGCCACAAGGAGTGGACTGATGGGTTCCATCTTCGGACTTGATCTAGACTTGGTAAAGATAATAGGTTGTGCAAAGAAATTGGATATTCCGTTGGCTTCATATAAGATTTACAAATTTTTAACATTTTAACCCTTTATGGGGGAGGTGCTAGAAGGAATGGATCGATATGTCCCATTTTCCAACATTAAACGGGCATGGTCAAAATATTAGGTTGTGCAAAGTTTAGTTCAAATTGGATTGTCCGTTCGCATGATATTATAAAATTAATTTTCAGTAAAATTTTTACCATTTTGTGACACTCCAGAAGGAGTGGTCCGATGTTCCCCCATCTTCGAACTTGATTGAAGTTTGAAGGATATATTACAATGTACATAATTTGGACTGAATCGGTAACTGCCTTCTAGAGTTATTGTGCGCACCAGCCGTTCAGACATACAGACAAATGGACGGACATTTGTAAATCGACTCAAAATTGTCTGAAATGGTTTTGATCCCAAAAAACATGGGGATTAAAACAAATATTTCGATGAGGTACATTTTTGCCGTATCATTAGCCATAAGGTTGAGGATATCCCGGTCCACTAGAAGTCATCTTAGTGTTCCATAAAACTATTTTTCCCTTTCAATAGCTAATCATAACTATTCTAAAATTTAATTTGATTTACAAAAATATTTAAAGAAATTTTGTTTAAAATCTATTTACAAAAACAATATAGGATTTGGTAAATTTGCACTTAAAATTAGAAAAATCGTTCGAAAAAAATTACAACAAAAAATCTTAAAAAATAGTTAACCATATCGATTGGATCTGTAAGAGCCATTTGAGCGTGTATAGGCAGATTGATATACCGGCTGGACATTGCCAGTTAGCTGTTGTATAATGCCATTCACAGTGGTGGCAACACCGCCAACCAATTGGGCAGGGGTCAAGGGAGCCTGTTAAATAAAAAAAATAATTTAATATAAAATGAAAGGGAATAGGGAGAAATTTTCACTTACCGCTCCCGCTGAATCATAATACACCCGATTCGGCCTTGGTCTACGTATTGGCACTGGCCGCTGATAATCTGGATCGACATCTGGATCATTTTGTAAATCCTGATCTGAATTTGTTGGTGGTGGTAGGGGATCTGCCAAGGGCCGAGCTGTAACCGCCAAGGCATTATTCAATATACCCGGAGCCCAAGCGCCCAAAATTTGATTTAACACTGGAGTGGCTGGATAGACAGGATCTAATAAGGGATCTGCTAATGCACCACCCAGGCCGGCGCCGCCACCACCATAACCCAAATCATCACCAAAAAGTCCTCCACCAAAACCTCCACCGTAACCACCACAACCTAATGGTGCCGCTACAGGTCCTTGAGGATACACTTTGTATACATTAACATCGAATAGAAAACGTCCTTGTTCCCTAGGTGGTGGTGTTATGGTTTTCTCTGCCTGAGCATCACGTCCATAGGCCAAGCAACGATTACGCAGAGCCGAAGCAGCTGCCAAACGTTGTCGTAGAAATTTTCGACGCTTCAAATATAATGCGGTTCGGGGTGAAGATTCATCATCCTTTTCCTGATTATCGGTCCCAGCAAATTTGGCATTTTCCGCATCGGGTATAGTTGCCGGATTTCGACGAGTGTCCTGGGAGTTGCTAGTGGCACTGTTGTAGGTATTTCTTAAATTATCCTTGGTATTTGTGGAAGATCTAGTATCCTGCTGAGTAGTGGCTGACTCGTCAGCAGGTGTTGTAATATAATTATTGCGTTTATAATCATCGGAAGAGGCATACCAGCGTACAGGGTTATTTGCCGATGTAGCTGTTTGTGTGGAATATGCTCTTGAATTGTAGCTATTATAACGTGTATCCTTAGCTGCCGAACTATATCCTTTCACAGCTGTACTCGGTCGTTGTGTTGTCGAATAACGATAGGCATTCGAATTTGTTTGATAATATGGTTTGGTAGCCGTTGAATATGAATTACGATTATTTGAAACCGTCGAAACAGCTCCACGATTATATGATGTAGGCGTATAACTATAGCCGGCTCTCCGCTGAGCAGGATAACGATATCCTTGGGTATATGTTTGCGAATTACAATATGCTACGATACACGTTATAAAGAGGAATATTATTTGCTTCATATCCATTTCGTTTAAAACATTTGGTGTTACACTTTTTTCTCCAACACTTTCAAGGACAATTTTGAGTTGCACTTTTTTATTTATCACTTTCAAGGATAATTTTCAAATTGTTTTCAGATATGTATATTCTTTTCGTTTTCGTTTCAGTTCACTCCGCTTTACGATGTTATTGCCTTAATTCGATATTCTCTACTAAACCTTGTAATGGCCTAGCATCTAAACTTATTAATTCAAAAATTTGCGTCTATTTTGCAGAGGTCTTCTTTTGATATGGAAAATAAGCCAAATTTTTTGCAAACACTCATTGTTGTTGTTGCTGTTCCAGTTGTAGTTTTTCCCAAAAAAGGCCGTATCTAACATTAATTTTAATTTCCGATTGCATAATATGTATGTCTGACTTTTTCACCACCACCAGCACCTTCAACATCGCCATCATCATCCACATTGAAACCATCATCACCGGGTTTTACATTGAGCGTGGAATTATGGTAAATACACTGTTGGCAATTTAAATAAGGTCTCTCTTAATGTTCGCACATAAATTTTTTAGTTGACAGGTTTAGCTGGTGGTTGAGATCAACTTTTTATGGTCTTGGGATTAGTTTAAATTCCATCTATCCTGCCACATCTGAATAGAAAAAAATCTTTGCTCGGATGTACATAATTATAGCTTGGTCTTTGGATGAAGTTCTGATCTTCTATTAGATGATCCGAAAGTCTTCTCATTGAGGGTCGGAAGTCGTTTTTATAGACAGCCAATCGTAAAAATTATCAATCCATCTGAGCAAAAGGTAGATTATTTTTACAATATGCTGTCTATAACAACGATTTCCGTTCCTCAATGAGAAGACTTTCGGAAGACTAATAGAAGATCAAAACTTCATCAAATAGAAGAGCAGAAGGCCTTCTAATAGAAAAGCAGTAGGTCTTCTAAAAGAAGATCAGAAGGTCTTCTAAAAGAAGATCAGAAGGTCTCCTAAAGGAAGATCAGAAGGTCTTTGAAAAGAAGATCAGAACTTCATCAAATAGAAGAGCAGAAGACCTTCTAATAGAAAGACAGAAGGTATTTTAAAAGAAGGGTAGATGGTCTTATAATAGAAGAACAGAAGGCATTTTAATAGAAGAATCATCCAAACTTTGTACATCGTAATATTTCTTCCAACCTTAAATCTAGATCGAAGATGGCAAATATCGGTCCACTCCTTGTTGGTGAAAAATATTTTTGTAATATCATGCGAACGGACTATCCGATTAGAATCAAACAATACACAAATTAATATTTTATCTTAGCATCGGTAATGTTTGTACAGCACCCTTCCTTGTAGTACAGCACCCACAAAAGCCAACATTTTCAATTTTTATAAATCCAATATTATGGGAAGGGTATGTCCGATCTAATCCAAACTTTACACATGAGAACCATCCACTACTCTACTACTTACTCCACAAATTGTCGAAATTTTGAAAATTCTTTAATTCAATACCAATCGAATACAATGTCCGATTTGATCCAAAACTTAGCAAATCGTAATATTTTTACTAAACCTAGATCAAGTCCGAAAATGAGACCCGTCCGTCCACTCCGTCCGTATTTCCAACAGAAAGTGTCAGAATTTTCAAAATTCTTGAATTCAATGCCAAGCGAATGCAATGTCCGATCTGATCCACACTTTGCAAATCGTAATACTTTTATCAAACCTAGAGCATGTTCGATGAAGGGACCCATCGGTCCATTCCTTCTAGTATCTTCCCCACAACGTGCGAACATTTTGAAAATTCGTTAATTCATCACCAAGCGAATGGAATGTCCGATTTGATCCAAATATTGCACATCATAATATTTTTATCAAACCTAGATCATGTCCGAAGTCGGAACACATCGATCCACTCCTACCAGTACCTCCCCCACAAAGTGTCAAAATTTTGAAATTTTCTTAATTTAATAACTAATGAATGCAATGCCGGATCTGACCCAAAATTCACACATTGTAATATTTTTATCAATACTATATCATGTCCAAAGTTGGAACCCATCGGTCCACTCCTATTAACTCCCCACAAAGTGTCCCAAATTTTGAAAATTTGTAAATTCAATATCAAACGAAAAGCAATGACCGATCTGATCCAAACTTTGTACAACGTACTACTTTTAACAAACCTAGATAATGTCCGAAGATGGAACCTGTCGTTCTACTCCTTTCAGTACCTCCTGATCCAAACTTTGTACAACGTACTACTTTTAACAAACCTTTGTCAGTACCTCCTCCTCCACAAAGTGTCAAAATTTTGAAAATTGGATAATTCAATACCAAGCTGGTATTCCGATCTGATCAAAACTTTGCATATTGTAATATTTTTATTTTTTTTATTGTCAACTATTTGATAAAAAAAATATACCTTATATAAAGTGAACAACAGTGTGTAGTAATTTCGTAGACCTCCACAGACCATAGGCTGGGGGTATTCTGAAGGTACTTTTATAGAAACTCAAAATTGTTTTTACAGCAGGATATCATACAGATCGAACAGGATATCATACAGGTCGAAAACCCAAAGCCCTTCTAATGGAAGCTCAAAAAGCCGTTTTTTACAGAAAACAAAAAAATAAACATTTCCCCTCGGTTGCTTTTTTTTAGCCAATATTTCCCTATTCAAATTAGCCGTAGTGTTACAACACTATTTAACACCCACACGCCTGCGTGGTATCAACAGCAATTTATGTGTGTTAAATAAAATTCTGGTTAAATTCGTTGTTGTTGTTGTAGCAGCCCTATTGCTTTTACACCATTGTGTAAATTCGTTGTTTTGTTTGTTTTTGCTTTTTTCTAGCTGAACATGCATTGACCTATAACTAATGTTGGTTTTGTTGTTACATTTTTTATAAAATATAGAAAAAATATAGCATATTTAACCTCACATTGTATTTTAAGTGATGATGGCGTTCCAGTCAATGGTTTGCAGAAAAAAAACATATTCATCATTCAAAACTAGGTCATCTAGTGGGAAAGACACTATGCAAAAAAATTCACAATGAAATTTTTGTTTTTTTTTTTTTTTTTTTTTTTTTGTTGTTTTTTTTTAACATCCATCATTTTTATTGTTTGTTTTAAATTTGCCGATGTTTTTAGCAAATATTCCATCCAAGAGTAAATTATTTTGCAACACTTGTTTTTTGTAGTGGGACAGAACGGGGGTAAATTTAGTTAAGAACACATTACCATATTATTTGATTCGGAAAATTGATTATTAAATTACTAGCATTTTTGTTTTTGTTTTGTTTTAACAAATAAAAGAAACTTAAAAAAGCTTTAGAGGAAATCACAAGATTTTTTAAATCCGCAATTTCAATTTAAGCGGCAGAGGAGATGACATCGGTGTACATCTTGACTTTGCTGGCAATGCTCATGTCAACATATTTATCACCAATGGAGACGATGAGACCACCAATGATGCTGGGATCGACACGGGAGGTAATCTTCAAGCTTTGGTTGCTCTTCAAGAAGGACTGAAAAGCAAAAACAAAAATATTATTTATTTCAAAAATAAGATATTTTATTAATATATTCTTACCTTCAAAGCACCCTCCAATTGTTTGCTTTGAGAAGCATCCAATGGTTTGGCAGAAACGACTTCACACACAACTTCACCACGATGGGCAGCCATGATAATGTTGAAGGCATTGATAACACCATCCAATTGGCTCAAACGGCCATTGTCGGCCAAAAGGGCCAACAAATTGCCGGTGGCAGCGGACCAACGCAATTTTTCGGCACTCTCCTTCAAGGCAACACCCATGACTTTCTTGTTGACAATGGGGCTGACAACAGATTCACGCAATTTCTTATCCTGCTTAAGGGTAGCTTGGAAGGCAAGCAAGTCCTTTTCAACTTGATCCAATTGCTTCAATTTGGTGGCGGCCGAGTACAAGGCAGTGGCATAACGACCCTCCAATCCGAATACTTGTACGGGGGGTTTGACCATTTGAGCACCAGTGCTCATAGCACGGCTCTGTAAAATAAATAAAAAATCAAACACACAATTACAATGGTGTTACAAAAAGTCAAGTACTTCCATTTATAAACATCAACACAAACAGACCACATTTTATTTTTCCAAAAAATATATAATTCCCTTCATAACTTTTTTTTGTTACATTACATAACCAACAAAAAAAATCTGTTGGGTAATTTTTTTCCAGACTATCTGATAACTGTTGGATTTCCACTCCAGGACATTGCCCAGTTGTTGTTTTAATAATAGGGAATTGTTTTATTATTTGTGCCTTTAAGGATTTCTTACCAACATGGATAATTTATTGACGGCGGCCATCGTATTTTTTGCCTTGGAGAATATTTGCAGAAAAATTCACGAATGCTTGAGCTTGCAAGTGCGCTGATACGGCTGTCAAAAAATTATGTCAGAATGGGTTGACAGCTGCTGTGGACAGTAGTGTCAACATGTCGTTAATAAAAAATCGCCAAATTTTGTATTTCGCTGTTTTGGCGGTTTTTGTGTTAAATGTGGCGAATAAAACAGATGTTTAGAACGGAATAAAATGTGTTTTATTAAAACTCATTATTTAAATTGTCAATGTCAAGAAAATATAAGAAATAAATTGCTTTTTATACAAATATATGTTTTAACGTGTATTTTTTGTAGAAAATCGACAATCAAAATAATCTTAAACAAATTACAGCGTAGAGAAGAAATAATTTTTTTTGGGAAGTATCGCGATTTATAAGATAACAAAATTGTCCTTTATGATATCGAAAAAGTAGTAAAATCTAGTAGATTCTTGGAGTACGGGAAATGTACAAAAATATTTCCTCGGGATATTTCATAGGTGCATATTAAAAAAATATATATTTATTCAAGGGATATCAAATTGTGTTTTTAAACTGAAAATAATTATGACATAACCATTAGCCATATCAATCAGCTGATCGAACCAAACCTATAGACATCAATGTATTCAACTGTTATGTCACTATTAATCGAATATATTGATTTCCATAGGTTTGGTTCGAGCAGCTGATTGATATGGCTATATGGTATTGTCATAACTAATTCTATATTTATACCCACAGTCTTATGTTTCTCGTGTTCGTTCCAAATCCGTTTAGACAATTTGGAGTTAATTTACAAATGTCCGCCCGCCTGGCAGTTGCACACGATATAGCCGATTTCATCCAAAATTTTCACATCGTAACATTTCTTCTAAAGCTAAATCAAGTTCGAAATTGTGTTATATTGGTCCACTCATTGCGGAACCTCCCACACAAAGTAGTCAAAATTTTGCTGACAATTAATTTTGTAATATCATGAACGGACTATCCCATTTGAATCAATATATGCAAAACCGAATATGTATACCAACCCTATTTATTGTTGGTTAAAATCTTATATCGCAAAAGGTTAAAATCTGCTTAATTTGGTAATCCAATATCAAGTGAATCGAATGTCCGTTTTGATCCAAACTTTACACATCACAATTTTTTTTATCAATCGGTCCATTGCTTTCATATCTCACCCACAAAGTGAGAAAATTTTATAAAACTCATAATTTTTATGAAACGAACGGAATGTTCGATTCGATCCAAACTACAAATCGCAATACTTTTTTCAATACCTAGATCATGTCCCTTCAAACATTCAAACATATGTGCTCATCGAAATATTGGTCAAACATATGTTTCTATAGAAGAACCTCTTCTGATACCTTTTTCAGATGACCAACTATGTGATAAAAACATATACCCTATATAAAGCGAATAATAAAACCAGTGTGTAGTGATTCCGTAGACATCTGAAAACCCATGGCATAATTATGACATAGGCAGAGGGTTTACATCCGTCGGTAACATCGACTGACACATTTTGACTTATTTAGTATAGTTTACACAAGCCACTCTTTTTCTATCATATAAATCACATCATCATTTACAGCTGTCACGACTTTGTTACCAAACCTAACCTCAAAGGTCTCTCTGTCCTCAATATATCTGTTCTCTCGTCTTTTTTCCTAGTATGAAAAAAATGGTCTCCGAATGAAATGACCGCTGATATACCTGTGGCACATCGTTTAGCCAAAATGACTATGAAGCAGAAGAGATTGACATTTATAAATTCTTATACCAAAAATGCACTAGATTCGGGACTTCTATAGAAATCATGGTAATCTTAACCTCCACAACCTTTAAATTTACCCTATATTGACAACACTGCTTTATTCTGTTGGTACAGTACAACAGATCAGTCATCAGAGTTGTATTTTCATTTATAAATGTGTACCGTTAAACTTGGCAGAATTAACATAAACATTATCGCATTGTTTTAAATAACTAAATCGTTTGGTTTAAAACTATAATACAGAGTATAGAAATAAACGTAAAATGCACAAATTTAAAGCAAACGACTCAACATTGGAATTTTGGATTTAATACCCTATATCTTTCTTTTTCGGGAACGAACGTGCTTTATTATATATCATTTAATCGTCGTTTAAGTTGTCATTCCATTTCCTTGTCACAAACGTTGATTTTGGGTGCAATCAGGCATTAGGCGTATAGTCAATAGTATGGAAGTAACAACCCGTCTGCATTTAGGTATTCATACGTTTACTTTATAATAATAACCATCAATTAAAAACGATATTTTCTTGATTTTTTTTTTCTTTTTTGGCCTTTTTTCAAGAGATTTTTTATTTGAAAATGAAACTTTCGTTTTTGTTTTGTTGTGGTTGTTGTTCTTGTTAAATTCTAAAATACGAAATTTTGTTATTCTTGTTTTTGTTATTTTTTTTTTTTACTTATATTCCTCCGTATATATTATCGCATAGTATGGAATCAATTTGTTACGGATATTATATATCAATATGTTTTTTATACTTTTTTCGAAGCATCCTTAATACACACACCACTCAGCAATTTACTTGTCATCTGAAAAAGAAGACAAAAATAATTATTTTTGGAAATTAAAAAAAAAACATATTTTTTTAATATTTACCTTCATCATCATCCTCTTCACCCTCACCATCTTCATCGTCGAATACCTCCTCTTCATTGTCTTCATTATCTTCGTCATCGTCTTCTGGTTCAACCTCTACATCAGGTACCAGATAATACTGCAGAGGATTTAGCCATAAATCGTCTTTAATTAATTCAGCAATTTCATCATTGACCGGATCACTGTTATCGGTGAACCAATCAAAGAATGTCTTATATTCGGAATTTCGTTTCTTTTTGTTGGTGAAGGGTTTTGAGAGTAATTGTTTTAGTAAATTTTTGCCTTCTTTCCATTGTATAGCCGTACTGGTCGATGAGGGGCAATCGCTATTTTCATCGGCTATTAAAAAAAAAAATTATTTTTTTGTTTTATAGATTACTTGGAAGAGCTGTGTATACTTACATCCTGTGCCCAAATGAAACTCTTTTGTTAGCACCTTATTTTCGAAGTATGGATTCTCGTCAAAATGAAAATGAATACGGTAACCCGATTTAATATCTTCAAATTCTTCTACTTCCAATTTACTTAAGGCATGCAAACATTCCTCTTCTTCTTCATCCAATATGGCTGATACTTGTGGATGATTTATAAACTGTAAAAAAGAGGAAAAATAAGTAAATAAAAAGTCGCATTTTTATACCCTTATTTCTAAGACTGCTAAACCTCGAAATATTCAGCGTAGACCCCACAAGGATTATATATTCTTAATCAGAATAAAATTCTATTTCTATTTACGCATGTCCGTCCGTCTGTCTGTCCGTTTATTGAAATCACGATAGATTGCAATATTTTAGAGCTCAAATATTTTGCACAGACATTGCTAGTACTTCTAGGGTGTTTGGTATTGCAAATGTGATATATCGGTCCACGTTATGTTATAGCTCCCATCTATCGGTATCTCCAAATATTCGGTATTTTTGGCACTTTGAGTATGTTTTTCAACTGAATTTGAATTTGGTATTTTGGGTTCTCATTGGGTTAAACATCCTCCTACCCAAAAATCAATACCAAATATCAATATTGATCCATTTTTCAGGGTAGGTTACATACAACGGAATCCTCATTATTCGGTATTTTGGGGGTTTTTGGGCACTTATTTCAACTTAATTGACTGTAATTCTGTATTTTGGATTCTCATTGGGTAAAAAATCTCCCTACCAAAAATTTTCAATATTGATCCAAGTTTCAGGGTTGACCCCATGTGACGGTACACCCAAGATTCGGTATTTTTGTCACTTTTATCACCCATATCAATAACGGTACCTCCCATATAACGGTACCCGCCGAATTTCGGTACTTTGGGGAGTTTAAGCTCGTTTTTCAACCAAATTGTCTGGAATTTGGCGGATTGATTTCTAATCGGGTAGAAATCTCCCAGTTGTGGGTTGCGGGGGATCGCCCCAATATACGGGTACACCCTATTATATCGTATATTTCACAAAAATCGGGTTTTGGGCTGGTTTTTTAAAGCGAATAGACTTTAATTTGATATTTTGGATTCTCATTGGCTTCCAAAAATGATCAATATCGGCCCAGCCCGTTTTATATGTGTTTTGATTGTCGCTGGTGACTTTTTCCAATCGAAGTGATTTTAGCACTTAGATCATGGGAACATACATAATATACATATTTCCACATACAAAGGTCAAGCGTCACTTTCGGTATGTTCAAAGTCCCAGCCCAATTTTCCAACGATGTTATAAGAAACTGAATTTAAACCGGGCTATTTGGAATAAAAACACAATTTTGTATCGGAAGAAGTAATTTAAAACTTCATTAATTGTTTAACGGATTCAAAACAATAAAATAACCTGTAAAACCTAAACTTATTTAATCTGAACTCGTAATAGATTTTGATTTTGAGGGTAATAGACCTTAGATTAGATTTTGAATTATATTTCAAGACCTTCTAAGCCTTCTATAGACAGAATACCTTCAAAAATTTTTCTGAATCAAAAAAAAAAACCTTCGGATGCTCTAAAGGCTTTTTTTCGAAGGGTTCGATGGAACGAGTTGAGTTTAGGGGCTCAACTCGGATTTTTCTGAAATTTGCCACCGGTAGGTCTCTCGTCTCCCTGATCAAGAAAATATAGGACTTTCGTGGGCGAAGTCCATAATTCCCGAGATATGGACCTCTGAAGTTCAGAAAAATCGTAAATGAGCCCCTAATCTCAACTTAAGCCGAGTATAATTTTAAAGCAGTAGAAAACTTGTTTACGTAGTAGTCCCTACATCAAAAAACTGACTACTTCCCAAGTCGTTTCCACGACAGAGGGGCCTACGATCCGAAACGACCAGAGTCTTACTTCGCCAACGTCTGTCACCTCAGCCCATTGTGTAAAATCAATAGGACTGCTACAACAACAACTACTACTCCTTCCCAAGCCCCCTTGTTTTCATTAGAAGGAAATTCTGTTGCGTAGCCAATATGTCGACATCTGTTCATAGGAGGTCTTAAGTTATCGTGGGTAGGTGGTCACCAACCGACACTTTTTTATTTTAAAAGAATTTCAGTTGCCACAGGTAGGTCTCGTCTCCCAGACCATGAAAATATATGACTTTCATGGGGGAAGTCCATAATTCCCGAGATATGGACCTCTGAAGTTCAGAAATATTGGAGATGAGCCCCTATACTCAATTTAAGACGAATATAATTTTAAAGCGCTAGAAAACTTGTTTACGTAGTTGTCCCTACATCAAAAATTGACAACTTCCCAGGTCGTTTCCACGACAGACCGAAACGACCTGATGCTTACTGTCACCTCAGTCCATTGTGTAAAAGCAATAGGGCTGCTACAACAACAACTACTATTTCCCAAGCCCCCTTGTTTTTATTAGAAGAAAATTCTGTTGCGTAGCCGATATGTCGACATCTGTTCATAGGAGGATCACCAACCGACACTTTTTTATTGTAAAAGAATTTCAGTCGCGTACCCACTTGGCGTAGGAAAACTACTCGGTCATGGGTACTATTTAAGTTGACAACTATATTCCGCTCACTTTTATTCGTCGAAAAATTACATTTCTGTAATCAGGACATTAGCAACTTCAAACTGAGACCCACGTTACATTAATTTAAAAACCAATAACAAAATACAAGGATACATCTGAATTTCAGAGCTACATTTGGTAAAAATCTCAAAATGATCTGCAATTTTTAAGTCCTATCATGATGTGTGCCTTTGTGCCACACTTTATTTGTCTAAGCCGTTAACATCAACTATTTTGACTGTCCCAACGTATGCTAAACCCCCAAATTTTACTACAAAACACGTTTTAATGTACAGTCAAACCTAGCTAAAAAATAACAAATAAATCCCCCCTCAATACGAAACTGTACTTTCAACACAAAAAAAACCAACACCATTAAACATAACCTTCAACTATAGAGAGAATAATAACAAAACAAAATCCCATTAACTACGCTAGAATTTACTACTCTAATTAATTCCAAAAATAATCAACACATTCTCGTTAAATATTCCACAAACTGTTGGCAAAAATTGGCAACCCTAGAATGCTGTGTACACAACAAAAATTTAACCCGCCAGCGACAAAAAAAGGAAAATATGATGACTGAACACAAACAGCCAATAATTTACACAAGAAAACACGCACACATACACATGTACAGATATACGTCGACAGAGTTCTTTTAGCAAAAAAGCATCAACAACAGAATAGAAAAATAAACTCATGTAAAACCAAACCTTCGCCCCTCCGTAGCATTTAATACCTTTCTTAATGAGTGTGAATAGCACAACAGACTTTGTTTCTCACAAATGATCCCGGGAATTTGTCTCTTCTTTCCACGACAGAAGAACAAAACGAAAGAATAAATGGGGACCACACTGTATCTACACATTAAATGGTTACATACACACTACCACTATATAGAGAACCTATCATCATATTACATGTCTATGCCTGTTTTTCGCTATCCTTAGTTTTTCCTCTTCCTTTCCTAATTAACCGATCATCCTTGCCTCTCCATCATTGCTACTCTACTTACCGCTGTCACCCAAAAGTTCGGAATACGTTTGACCAATTCACTACGCTTCTCATAGCAGGGCTTCCTCAGTTTATTGTATTTCTGCTCAACTTTGAGTATTTCCTCGCTGGCTTTTTCGTTGAGGGCATCGATGTCGTTTTGACACGCATCGATTGCTTCCAGCGCCTCAGTTACAGCCTCATTGGGCGCACCGGAATTGCCCTCATCCAATTTTGCGCGCTTCGGTAAACTGGACATGTTGTTTGGAGACACAATTATTATTATTATTTGTGGTGTTAGTTATTTGGATATTTATTCTCTATCTAGAGAATTTGCGTGTTGCACCGAAATAAAACAAAGGCTTGTCGTCCCAGCTATATAAAAATGTGTGCTTGCGGCGTCGATTCGATTCTTTTCGGTTCTACTTTTTTCCTTTCTTTTCACTGCCGTTTTTTGCGAGTAGTTGTATAGTAATAAAATGACGGGATGTGTTTGTGTGGTTGCTTTTATGTGTGTATTATAAAGAATGGCGAAAAATGCCGGTTTACAGTGCTGCCAACTGCACGAACGGCGTTGAGAAAAAACGCTGAAATTATGACAAACTCTTATTAGAGTTGTATTTTGGTGTTTGTTATCATTTTATAGGTTGATGCAATTGATGTATATGTGGTGATATGGGAAATGTTGCAAAACATTTGGAAAATGTGATATAATAGGATATTATATTACAAATTATATATATTAAAATATGAAATTCAAAAAATATATAAAATTTGTACTCAATTATTCACTTAAATTATCATTTTCAATAACCATACCAGAAATATGTCAACTACTAGGTATTTTTCACTAAAAACATTTCGATTGTCAATATTATAGGACGTTTAGATCTAATTACCTTGAAACACGAGCCTGTCAAATTTTACATATATTAATACGAAAAATTGCATCTGTTAAAACGATATGACATCACAAATGTAATTTTTTAGTTTATGAGCCGCTCTATTTCTTTGTGTATTTTCATAGAACAAATAAATAGAAAATAACTCGAACAAATAAAGTTAAATTTGTGGATACTTATAAATGTGTAAACACAAAAGTAAAAATTGTATGTAAAGAAGCTATTTTGACATACATACAAAATCTCGTATATACAGGAAAACTGACAGCACATATGACATTGATTCAGAATTTACACAGGTCATTTGTAAAGCAACAGTCACCTCCTCTCCTCTGTTTATATAAAAATTATTGGAAATGGTTCTTAAAATAAAAATTTATTGTTTGTGCGGATTCGTGTCATGATTTCAGGGATGCTTTGTTAAGTTATTTACATAAGACATTGCCAATTTATATCGCATTGACATACGCACTTTATATGTTATGGATTTACGAAATCCTGAAAAAATAATGTTATTTACACTGGCTTTTTTATATTTAAAAATAATCTTAAAATAACGCAGACGCAAAATTTTGGCTTTAAGAAATAAAAGACGCAACTCCATAAATCCTGAATTTACTATTATATGTAAATGTGCTGGAGAAGTTCATACTTCCTAAGATATGGGCTTCCAAAATTCCACTGTTCTAATGTAAATGCCGTTTAAGGGGACAAAAAATTATTACAATATGCTTCGAATATTAAATTTGTCAATTAACATTTAAATTATTAGAACTTAAAAATAAATAATATCTAATTAGGAAAAAATACACTTATGACACTTCACAAGGGAAGAACTACTACTATTAATACCTCGCTTGCGAGGTCATAGAAATAAAAATTAAAAACTAAAAAACGCTCCCAACTATAGTATCAGCGGCAATTACTGCCTCTAAAAATAAGTACTTTTTAAGGTAGATAATAATAGCATAGAATTTCGAGAAATTTTCTAGTATTTCGCTAACGGTCCTTTTTTATTTCACTTATCATTTGTGGGTACAACATGCTTTTATAATTTCTTTTTATTTTTTTTATTTTTCAAAAGCTTGAAGGCGAGCAAATGTAACAAAATACGTTACGACGCCACTAATCACAACTCATTTTGCGTTACGTCTAGTTCTGTTTATTACAGCTGTTACCATATGACCGCACAATCTGGTAACACTGATTAAAAACAACGTGCTACGACATTCAGTTTGATTTTATTTTTTTAGCCACACTCCTTTAAAAGAATATTTTTGTTATTTTCTTAATAAAAAATGGTAATAATTGAGAAATCATTTCCTCGTGGTGGAATACCAGCCGCCAAGGAAAAGGCAGCGGCAACACAAAAAGAAACACAGGTGGGTTTAATTGTCAAAAACTTCAAAGTAAATAAAATAACGTTCTCATGTATCCCATTCCACTGCCTATAGATTTTTGGAGCTGTCCAAAAGAAAATCAAAAAAACTAAAACAAAATCCACAAAAAAGTCTTTTGAGGATGATGATCAACAGAATGACGCCTTGGAATCATTTTCAGCTGAGCTGCTTAACTACGAGACAATACAAGATGGCATGATCATTATGGGTATCATCAAGAAAGTGGATCAATTGTATGTTAGTGTTTCGCTGCCAGGAAGAATTATTGCCCGGGTGTCGGCATTGGAAATTTCAGATTCCTATACAAAAATTACAAAAGAATTTCTGCAAAATTCCGCACAAGCTGAGGGTTATAAACCTCTCAAGGATTTATATCGTGTGGGCCAAATAGTCTATGGTCGTGTTTTGGAAGTTAAAACCAACGAAAAGGGTCATGTTTTGATCGATATGACCTTTAAGCCATCTGAGGTGCATGCTGAACTCAATCATTCAAGCATACGCAAAGGATTTGTTTTCAGTGGTGCCGTGGAAGAGGTACAAGAGCATGGTTACATTATTGAATCCGGCATTAAGGGATTGCGTTGTTTCTTGCCTTTGGAAAAATCAAAAGAGGGACATGGTGTTGGTGAATTGATTTATTTGAAAGTGGATAAAATGACTTTGGATCAGGCGGCCAGTACTTGTATTTGTCGTGAGGTATCGGAGGATAAATTGAAAGTTAAAGATCAAGCTGATCCCAGTTTGGATTATTTGCTACCCACCACAATTGTGAATTTTCAAGTTGGCAAACGCCTGAAGGATGGTTTAAAGGGCACTGTTATGAATGAACTATTTACCGCATATGTTAATGAACATCATTTGGGCAATGCCCTGCTGGTGCCAGATGATTATGAAATCAATGAGAAATATGAGGCGAGGATTTTGTATGTTATGCCTTTGACAAAATTGGTCTACTTGACATTGAATGTTCATCGTAATAATGCAGTGAAAAAGGAGGAAAATGATCAAGATGATGCCGATACCAGCAATGATAATGTGGAACACAGCCTAAAGAGAGGTGATATCATTGAAGATGCCAAGGTCCATCATTTGGGAACCGGTGGTGTTGTATTGGCCTTAGATGATTCTCATAAGGGTATATTGTCCTTTAAGACTATCAAATCAAATTACAAGGGCAATTATGACCAGGATGAATTGCTGGCCAAATATGCCAAGGATACAACACACAAAGTCCGTATACTTGATTATGATATTATGGATTGTGTATATGTTTGTACGGATGATACGACCACGGTGCAGGAGAAATTTTTCGCCTTGGATGATTTCCATCCTGGTGATTTTGTTACAGCTAAAGTTAAGGAGTACAGTGATAAAATCGGTGGCTACATTGTGCAAGTGGGAATGGCATCGGGTAAGTGTGTAAGGCGAATGCAAAAATTTTTATTAAATATGAACAAAAATCGAAAAATAAGAAATTAAATTAAAAACTAAAAAAATAATAATAAAAGAGGTCGCCCTCTCTCCCACACTCGTTATTTATACGGTACAATCTGGCTTAAGAACCTGCATGTCTGTCTGTCCATGTAAAATTGTAAACAAAGTACAGGTCGCATTTTGGGTTCGAATTGGATAAAATTTGGCACTGTTAATTTATTTGGCCCAAGGACGAACCCTTGGTAGACAATAATTCGATTCAATAATTTTTTACTTTTGTTTTCCCCCAAAGTTCCTCTGGAACCTTCAAAAAGACCTCCAAACTATTTTTTTATTTTCTTGGTAGACAATAATTCGATTCAATAATTTTTTATTTTTGTTTTCCCCCGTTTTTCCAGCAATCATTGAAAAACTCTTTTTGGCGCCCAACTTCAAGATTTTCGAAACCAATACTCGTCTAAAATGTCGCATTGTTGCTGTTAGTGCCGAAAGGAAAATGGTCTATCTAACCAATCGTCAAGAATATTTATCCAAATCGTGCACTGTATTGACTAGCTTCGATGAGGCCCGGATCAATGGTAACTATACGGGTACAATTGTAAAGTCGGAACACGGTTTTGCCTTGGTGAAATTCTTTGGCGATGTTAAGGGTATATTCTATAGACAAAATGCTCCAGCGGGATTTTTGGATACATTGAAAGAAGGTCAGACAATGCAATTCCGTGTGGCGGATAAAAAAGATGGACAACTTATATTGGGCGTCGTGGAGAATGCCTTTAAATTGGGTGAAATTTGCCCTGCCACCATTGTACATAAATTGGATTCAGCTTTAGAATTTAAGGTGGCTTATGCCCCTGAAGGAGCAGATGATGGAGAGGAGGGACAGGAGATTGAATTTAAGGGTCTCATACCAATTCGATTTCTTTCAAATTACCCGGACCTGCTGTTGGCCAAACTGAATATGTATCAAATTGGTGAACAAACCCCAGCTGCCTGTATTAACAAGAACATATTCAGTGTGCGGGATGTCCAATATTTCACCGAGAATTTAACACCCAATTGGAAATCTATAAATATGGGTGACATCTTAAAGGCCCATGTTAAGGATGTCAACGATGAAGTGGTTGAGGTTAATGTGCCCATAAATAATTACACAAAGTCGGTGAAATTACATTTGAATATGATGCTGATGGATATCAATAATGCGGCCAAGGTTAGCATTACGCCATATCAAGTTATTTATGTTAAAGTTTTGGGCAAAGAGGATCTAACCAAAACCATATCGGTATCGGCCAAATTGATTGATGTGTGGGATTGCCAATTGAGTTCAACTGCCAAGGCTTTGAAGGGGTAAGTTTTTCTTGTTATCAAATTATTTAATTTATTAACTAATTTTTGTATTTCTTACCTCCAGATATTTTGATGAACTGAGCTGCATTAAAAAGTCCTTGAAGAAACAATCGAATCCCATTGCCCGTTACTCGGTGGGTGATAAAGTAAAGGCCCAGTTTCAGGGTGTAATTGAGGGCAGCAATGATTGGGAATATGTTTTGGAAAAAACTCAATTAGTCGCCATTGTTAAATCAAGCCTTGTGGGAAAAGCCAAACCCCCAACACCGGGTACTGCACAGGATTGCATTGTTTTATGGGTAGATTATAGCAGTAATTTGTTATTCCTGAGCAATAAACCTGGCGATACAGATCACATATTACCCGGCAAGGAAATCCCCCAGAACCTAATCGGCAAGGGTGGTATAAATGCCAAGGTTCTATTTAAAAATGAAAGCATATTTATATGCTCCCTAAAGAAGGGTAAGCATCCATTGGTCTACTGTCCGGCCCAATTGCATTTCAATGATTTTGAGAAGAGTTGTAGTAACACCGTCAACGAAGGAGATTTCTGTAAGCTCAATTTCATAGATGATCAATTGCCCTTGGCTGTCTTGGACGATACCCATAAAATTTGGACCGAAATAAGTCGCAAGAGGAAACATGAAAATGAGAATAAAGAAAAGGAAAAAGTAGCAGCAAAGAAGGCGAAATTGGAAGTAGAAAAAACCACTGAACGTAAACGTAAAACTTCCGAATCCCAGGAGGAAGTAAAAAAACCCAAAAAAGAAACTGCAAAGAAACCAAAAGTGGAACAACCTGATGTCTTATTCTATGAAGATAAAAGTGCCGACAAAAAGGCAGCTGCCAAGGTGGTGGATATTGTGGTGACAACACCAAAACCAGAAGATTCCAAGAAAGAATCGAAAACCCCCAAAGTAACACCCAAATCCCTGGCTGGTGTAAGCAATTTCTGGACAACCGATTTAAAAGATATTAGCAAAACCGAAGATTCCTCAGATGAAGATGAGGACGAGGAGGGCCAACAAAATGCAAATGATGCTAAAAATAAAAAGAAACTAACCGCCGCCGAGAAATTCAAACAACAACGTGAAGAAGAAGCCCGCCTAAGGGCAATTGAAGAAAAATATGCCGATCCCACACAGTTACCCGACTCGGTAGATCAATTTGATCGATTGGTATTATCCGATCCGAATAACAGTAAACATTGGATTAACTATATGGTATTCCATTTGCAATCTGCCGAAATTGATAAGGCCAGAGCGGTGGCAAGACGTGCCTTGAAAACCATTACCTTTAGAAATTCCGAAGAACAAATAAATATTTGGGTGGCTCTATTGAATTTGGAATTACGTTATGGCAGCAAGGAAACATTTAATGACACGCTCAAAGAGGCCTTAATCTATAATGAACCATTGAAGATTTATTTAAGGGCTGTGGAGATAATAACAGATTCGAAAAAGACCCAGGAACTGATAGAAATGATTGGAATTATAACGAAAAAATTCAAAGCGGAACAGGAAATGTGGCGGGTGGCAGCAAATGCCTATTTCAGTGTGGGCATGACCGAAAGGGCTCAGCAATTGTTACACAAAGCTTTGGCTTGTCTGCCGGAGAGGGATCGTAAGTATTTTTACAGCAACAAATGGAATTTTGATTTGTAATTTAAAATCTTCTTTTTTGATTTTCACAGATGTCAACACAATTGTTATGTTTGCCAATTTGAATCACAAACACGGTGAAAATGAAATGGCCCAAACCCTATTGGACCAGGTGGTAACTTCATATCCCAAGCGTGTTGATGTTTGGTCACAATATGTTGATATGTTGGTTAAGGCGGAATTAATTGATTCGGCGAGGTAAGTCTTAAAAAATTTAGGCTATCAAATTGAAATTAATATTTTTTTCATTTTTTGTTTAGAAACATTTTGGAACGTGCCATTGTCCAAAAGATACCCCTACGCAAAATGCGTACAATCTTTAAGAAATATTTAGAATTCGAAGAACGTTTTGGCAATGATGCCAATGTCCAGCGCGTCAAACAGCTAGCCATGGAATATGTGAAAAAGAATGAAAATCTGTAAAGATGGCGTATTTTTTTTATAATTTAGGAATTAATTTTAGTTTAGTGTATATGATTATAAATAAATATATACTTTGTGTTTTAGAACTAAAAAAGGGATATATGTATATTTTATTTTTATCAAGTTTCACAAGAAGTTTTGAAACTATATATTGATTCCTATAGAAAATGTCATCCTCAATATATCTTTGCTGACCTCTTGGATATGTTGGAAGAAGGCCAGACATTCCGACTGGATCAGGTCCAATTTTAATTGAAGTTTTTATCTGAGATTAAATTTTTCTATATAAACATGATCCTTATTTCACCGATGAATAAATTAATTAAAAAAACACACCTCAGATATCTATAGACGGCGTGTACGGGGTCTTCTTTTTATAGGGAACATCTAGAGGGTTAAGTAAACCATTTTGAAAGAATTATTATTTGTGTTCCCATGGGACATCAATCACCAAGAACCCTATGAAAGGAAGAAGGTCTTTAAACTCTATAGAACTGAAGTTCTTCTATAGTAGGAATTAGTGACCTCGTATTTGCTTAAGGGAGTCACTAGAGGGGTAATCGTGATAGACCCCATAGCTACATACAACTCAGATAATTTAACAAGACAGGCAAATTATTAGTCGGTGGTGTCCAAGGGCCACGGGAAGCTCATAAGGTTAAACTCGAGGATTACGGCCACCTCAGAAGGTAAACACCACGGGCAGAGACAGTCGATATTTTGGAAACCCAAATATAACGAACATGTCACAGAGCTAAGCAAGAAGACCCAAATCTAGAAGTGACCGAAAGCTACACGTACTTTGGAGAATTGAGAGATCACCGAGCTGTTCGAGGGTTAAGCACAGATCACCGAGAGGTTCGAAATACAATTCGGAGGATATATAGAAGTTATTATTAGTCGGAATGGTCCTCAATATCACTATATTCGCTAGAAGCAGGAATACCCCTTGAAGATCACTTCAGGGTGTCTTCCAAATCATTATAATGAACATGAAAAGCGACGGAGAATCCTAGAAACCTCAACATTTGAGAACTGCTATATGTTAGATCTTATTTCAAAGCCTATAAAAACATCGAAATGGATTCTGCTTCCCACTTTCAATGGGAATGCCATTAAATATTGCATGTTTACCAATTTTCAAAAGATATTCATATTATTCAGCAGATATCGGTATGTCTCGTCAAGCTTACTAAAGAAGAAAATGTAGGCGTTGCACCACACTATTCGCAACTTTTAACAATACTATGTGCTAGGGGATCACATAACCTCACTTTTTTTACTTTTTAGGTTATGTGATTTTATATCATTAAAACCGAAGAAAGTTCGCCATGAATTGGTAGCGGAGGTATTAAATGGTACAAAAGTTTGCTAAATTTAGAAATAATCTTAAGTCCCGAGTTATGGGCCTCTGTATTTCTGAAATTCCTATGCTTACACCTTCAACTGCCTTAGAAAAACCTTTTAATTGAAAATACATGTTTTAATCTTGTAGCCGATTTTTCATCTATACCTAGGAGAAAGTCTAAAATCCTCGATCTAAAGCCGGCTACAAAAGGGAACTTTTTATTAAGTCCGCGACGAATTAAATGTGAACCTATAATTTCCACGCTTTACAAACATATTCATATTACCGACATTGGCCCATATATGATGAACATTGAAACCAATATCTTGGGAAGTATGGACTTCCCCCATAATTGGATATGTATAAGCCGCTATATTTCACTTCTTTGCACCAAGAACACAATTACCCTTTCAAGCTTTTACCGTTAGAAACATACTACTTCTGCGAAACGTCAAAATTGCAGTTACGTTTCATTAAACAGTACACAGTATATTGTCAATGCCTCTTTCTACCCCACAATAACGCCGTCATCAGACACAAAAACAATCATTTCTAACGCCGTTGGAAATGTCGTTTGTCGGTTTGCCCGTTTTATTCTTAACAAATTAATAAAAATTAATTTAGTATTTGACTATGGGCGCATGAGATACAACGTTAAAGAAGAAAAAGTTTGTGATTCTGTGATTCACCACTTTGCCTCTTTTGCATGCTGCACATCTCAAAACAAAAATAAGAAAAAAACAACAATAACAAAGAAAAAGAAGAATAAAAGAAAACAAAAAATAAAGGAAAAAATATTGGTGAAACGTTGTTTTAGAGCTTTTGCAAAACAAAAAAAGAAGAAAACATCATAACAGAAGATTTTTTTACAAGTGCTAGTGATTCCCCTCCCACTCAATGCGGTTGAATCAGAATACACAAAAATCATAACAAAAAAAACCTAAAATCTAAAACAACAACAAAGAAACTGTCTTCCTGTTTCTTCTTCTAAAAAAGTAACAAATAAGAAATAAAAAAAGAAACGAAAATATTCTGGTCGTCGGGAATTTTTTTGCTTGTGTTACAAAAAAAGCAAATACGACAAATAAAAATATATAAGAAGTAATAACAACAAGAGGTAGAAGAAGAAGCAGAGCAAAAATTTCGGGAAAATTGTGCAATTGTGTGCCTGTGCTGTGTTGCTGCTACTACTGTCGTCGAGGCTGAAAAAAGCCAGAATTCTTGTAAGAAATAATAATTAAGTGAAACGGTGGGTTGGTTGGGTACATTTTACATTGCAAAACGTACAACAACAATACGAAGAGGAAGAAGAAAAATCAATAATATAAACATTTCAATTTGTACCACGAAAAAAATTTAAACAAAAATTCTTATTTTTTTGCAAAAGAACAAAGGAAATTTATAAAAACACACACAATTACAAATAACGACACACTCACACATACTTGAAATACACACATATTCTTAACCAAAATACAGTGACAGACACGCGCGAGACGACAATATTCTCTCCAAAAAATAAAAGTCGAAAAAATAACAAAAAGTGTGAAGAATAAGAAGAACGCGAAAACAACATAAATAACTTAACCAAAAAACCAAACCAACTCTAGGCGTCGCGTTAAGGTAATTCTGCTTTTTTTTCTCCGTTTGTTTGTTTGTGAAGTGCCAAGAACCTGAAAGACGAAAAGATATTCCAGAACAACTACTGTCATGGATCTTGCGTGTATTGTGTGTAATGCAGCCAGGGACAATAATTTAACTCTGCTGAAGGTGAGTGTACCAAACCAAAAAAGTTATTTACAACAAAATAAGAACAAAAACATGTACATAAATACCAACATTGAAAATATAAAGAAACCTCTTCTTCTGTTCGTTGCTATTGAAGAAGCACAGCAAAGCTTTGAAACAAAGAACATGGATGGATACGATATATTCATGTTCTCCAATCATTGCCATACAATAAATACACTTACATTCCTACATGCTCTTTATTTTGTTGTTGTTATATCTTGACAAATAGGATATTGTTGGTTCATGTTAACATGTATGAGTGGCTGGCTGTCTGTCATCGACAAAGAGATTGGATTGGATTTTTTCTTATATTGTTTTTTTTTATGATTATTATTCAGGAAATGCGTTCTGATTTTGTTTTTTTTTCAAGAAGTGAACATTCACTGTTGATTCCTTATGTTCAAAAAAATTTATTAACATTTTTAAAACGCACTCCACACCACCACCCCCATTACCAAAGCAAGCAGGCAATGTTCTCATTTTCGTTTCATCGTCTTAAGAATAACAAAACAATGTGTCAAAGTGTTGTTGTTGTTTTTGCTGTTATTGTTTTGTGATTTATCGATAAATGAACGACAGACAGACTGACTGCCTCTTTGCCTGTTATCTATTCATTTTTTTTGGTTAAGTGTTATATTTTGTTACATTTGTTGTTTTTGTTACTGTATTGTTTTTAATGAGTGCAAGCGATATATGAAGAGTGTTAACGACGGGGGGAGGGAGATACATGAAATCTGTTAGACACATGTCTAAATAACAATACTCACATAGCCATTGCTGCTTATTTGTTATCAATTTATTTTGTTGCATCAAATATTTATTTATAAAAAAACCCTAACAGAAAGTGTTTTCTTGTCGTCTCGTCAATTATTTATTATTTCGTTTTGAAATTCAATTGATAAAATTAAATTGAGCGATAATGTTTTGATTTGTTTTCCAATATACGTAGAACAATTATAGCTAGAGGGGTAAAATGATCATTCCATGTGTTTTATTTTTCTAGCTGACACATTCATTTTTCTGTTATGTATTTCCCTTTTTACTGGGGGAAATTTGAGAGAGCGGTTGTCATAGGATCCCCATAGAATATGTAATGCGTATGCGTCAAGTTATTTAAGGAAAGAAAATAAATTATTTAATAATACAAAAAATAATATTCATTTGTTTTATTTGGTTGTGCAAGAAGTACTTTGCTTCTTCTTCACAGAAATTTCTCGAGTAGAGCATGTTTCTATTTTAACAACTGATGTCTAATGTCAGTGCAAAGGAGTGTGTGAGAGAGAGAGGCTTTTTACAACATCTGTTTTTTAGTTTGGCGGTAAATGTGCAAATTACACATTGTTTTTTAATGGATGTCATTAAAATGATTTTTGAAGTGTATAAAAGTGTTTCTAAATTGATTTAACAATTAGAGAAAGTTGCAAAGAGTAGTCTTTAATTAAAAAACAAAAGAAAAAATGCAAACAAAGGATTTCTATATAAAAAAATATATTTCTTCTATTCCATAATATGACAGAGAGAAAAGTAATGAGTGTGAATATTTGCTATAAGTTGTCATTAATTTGGCGGTTTCTAAATTAAAGTAACAATCATAGAATGTTCTAAAGTGTATTTTTAATTGGAAAATATGAGAAAAATACAAAAGATTTAATATATAGAGTTAAATGTGCTTTTCCATCACAAATATAATGTTTCTATCCCAATTTATAGCAAAGAGAAGAGTGATGAGAAGTGAAGAGTGACAGTACTTGACGTCAATTGTCTTGTAATTTGGCGGTTGGATTGCAAATAAAAAATGTTTCTAAATTAAAGCAACAATTAGAGAATGTTCTAAATTGTGTTTTTATTGGAAAATTAAAGAAAAATACAAAAAATAACAATAATATATGGAGTTAAAAATGCTTCATTATCATAAATATACTTTTTCTATCCCAATTTGTGGCAAAGAGAATAGTGATGAGAAGTGAAGAGTGACAGTACATCAGTTGTCTGTAGTTTGGCAGCTAATACGCAAATTGCACATTAGCAATTTTTTTTTAAATATTAGATAATTAACAAATTAAATAAAATAGTTAAATAAATAATAAACAATTGTAGAAAGTTGTGAGGAGTGTTCTTTTATTGAAAAATAGAAGATCTTACGTTGAACTGTACCTTCCTTATCACAAATATAATGCATTTCTATACCATTATATGACACAGAGACACATATGACACGGAGAAGTAGTGAGTGAGAGAGTATTTTACGTCAGTTTTCTTTAAATGACCTTCTTTAGGAGATTAAAGCGCCTTTCATCTTCCTTGACATTAATATGAGTAATGTCAGTAAAGGAGTGTGAGAGACAGCTATTGACATCAGCTGCTTATAATTTGGCGGTAAATGTGCAAATTACTCTAGGGGTTTTAATGGAAGTTGTTAAAATCAGTGTAAAATGTTTAAAACTATAGTTTTTTAATTGTAATAACAATTAGAGAAAGATCATACGTGTGCTTTTTAATTCAAGAATACAAATAAAGGATCTTCCTTTGCAAAAATAAGGAATCGAAAAAATACCTTATATGACAGAAAGGGAAAGAGGTGTGATGTAAAATGTGGTGAGTGAGAATATTTGTCATCACTTGCCTTTAATTTGGCGGTTGATTTGACAAATGGCACATATATTGTGGCTACTGTAGAATTTTATAAAGTAAATAAAAACAACTTTTTATTGGAATTTTCAACTGAGAAAATGTATTTTTGTAAGGAAATGTGCAAATTCATAGCTTTTTAAAAATGGTTCAATAAAGTATGCCTATATTATGAATATATCATTGTTAAGTTTTTACATTTTGTTCGTTGGCATGAAATATGGGAGAGAGAGTAACAGAAGGAGAGAGTAATTGACCATCAGCTGTTATTAATTTGGCGGTAAATTCGCGAAGTGCAATTAAATGAAAGGAATTTTACAAAATTAGTATAATTTTCTGAAAAGAGATATGAGTTAATAATAGGCAATTCTATAGGAAAGAACTACCATTAACAAATGTGAAAAATATAAAAAAGGTTACTGAAAAATAGTGCTTATGTGTGAAAATATATCGGGAGATTTAAGGAAGTCATTTTCTTGAGTTGCTGGTAAATCATAATTTAAACACATAAAAAACAATTTTGAATTTAATATTTCATTTATATTCATCCATAGGTGGATTTGGCCAATATTAAGCATAAATTATAGATTGGGTTAATTATTGCTCTATTAGTAATAACAAATGAAGGGCCATGTCTGACCAACCATGAATTTGTTTAAAATTGTGACAATTCAAGGATCCATCAATCCTGTATAGCTATTAAAGAAAATCTGAAACATTATATGCCTTACATAATAAGGACATTTTGGAGGCCATTATATCGATTTCAATCAATTTAAATTAGATATATATTCTTTATGTATTCATATTTGAAACCCTCATTAACTATTTTACAATTTTAGGTAGTCCTGAGATCACTGAGAATAGTCTCAATTCAAAAAATTAATTTCAAAAATTATATTTGTCTTCATATGCGAATAATGACTTTAAAAATGTTCTATGGCGGGAAGATCTATAGCAATTTGAGTTTGAAAATATAATGTGTACGCTTTACATCATTACCATACCTTCATCCGGTCATAAATGACGATCGTATGCATTAGAGAAGCAATGAAACATTGTAATCCTTACATATTAACAACATTTTGGAGGCCATCCTATCGATTTCAATCAATTTAAATTAGGTATATATTCTTCATCTATTTAAATTTGAAACTCTCATTAACTATTTTACAATTTTAGGTAGCCCTGAGATAGGTAGCCCTATAGCAATTTGAGTTTGAAAATATAATGTGTATGCTTTACAATCTTACCATTCCTTCATCCTGTCATAAATGACGAAGTTATGATCATGTGTACTTCTAAATATCAGAGGCCAATTTCACGGAAATTATGGACTTCCTCAATGAAAGTCATATATTGGAAATAGAGTGTCGATTACTTACCTGTTGCAATTGATATTTGTAATTTAATCAGTCATAGGTTCAAATTACTCAAATCAAGTCAACGACTTTTTAAATGACACCGACCTGATTGTTTGTTCAAATTTTATTATTAAACAATTTTGAAATATATTTATAAAGCATTTCCAAATTGGTCAATAACACAGTAATACCATATAGATAATGATAATATGATCAAGAATAACAAGAACAACAACAATAACAAATAAAATAGATAAGGAAAAAAATACAACAATACATTATAAAATCCCATAAATATTGGTGTTGAGTATATTGACCTTCTTTCTCATCTAGCCAAACACAGCTAGTCAGTCCGCCAGTCAGCCAGTCATCCATCAAGAATACATACATATTCAAATCTATGTAAAATATAAAAAGACGACGTGAGTTTTGTACTGTTTGATCGGTCATACATACCAACTGTGTACAAACGACATCGTAGTTAACATAATTATTCGGTTAAATAAATACATACATACATACATACATTTTGAGAACAAACATTTAGAAGAAACCGAAAATACACCATAGCAGATCGTTGTTTGTAATTTACATAGCCTACATAAAACTTAATGATGTTTGTTGCTGGCATATAATGAGTATTTAAATTTGCGTTTTGGTTAAATTCAAATAAATGACCATTCATTCTGACTTTATCTAATTATTATAAAGCTTGTTTCAAATTACTATTTCAAGGTAGAGAATGAGAAATAAATTTTTTGGTTTATTTGGTGGTAGAGTACGAACATTCTATGTTGCAGCTTGGCATCTATTTATCTTTCTGTATGTCTTGTGAACACCTATCCGTCATAGTAGAAGAAAAAAAAATACACATAACCAACACTTATTGGGTTCAAAGTTAACCAGCTACAAGAAACTGACCTTAGAAATTCAGCAAATAGTAAGCGAGTAGCTAGCCATTGGATACTACACACCATACGATACAGT